GCATAGGAGCCGGCAGAGCAGGGGAGTCGGGGGGGCATGGTTGGGCCTGCTGGAGTGGGCACTGCCCCCTTCCCGCAGGGCGGCCTGGGGCCCAGGCGCAGGTCCGAGCGGCCGGAATGCAGGTCACTGACCTGCCACCATGTGCCCGGGTGGACTCCACCACCGTCAGGAGCAAGGCCCCTTCCCCATGTAGAGGTCGCTCGTTGGCGGGAAGCCAATGCAGGTTCCCAGCAGGTCTGCACCTGTACCTGAGCCCAGCCTTCCCCTCCCCCACCCATGGCGGCGGGGGAGGCGGGGTGCAGACGGCTGAGTGTAGGAGGAGGAGCAAAGCAAGAAGACGCGGGCACCCACTTGTGACCGCAGGGAGCTTGTGGCCGCGGTAGACGGAGATCTCTCTCTCCTATCAGAGCCTGGGGCCGGCGCACAGCAGTCGTCTCTACAAGGAGACGGGGATTCCTCCCTGACAGAGGCCCAGAAGCCTGTGCAGGGCAGGGGTCTCTCATACCGAGACGAACAGGAGTGTTCTCTTCACCTAGTGGCCGGGGTATCGGGGGGGCCTGACCGACGGGCGATGCCTCCTCAGCGGGGGAGGACCCTGCTCTTTGTCTACCTTACACGTTCAGGTCCCTGTTTGGGCACCAGTTGTGCAAGGCCACACTCCCGGGGAGAGCAGGGTGACAGTGTCCTTCCACAAGGAGCACCGGGGACAGGCTTTGGGCCACGTGTCCCCTTTATTCACAGCTACGAACACGTTTAAGGGGCAGCAGAAGGGGCATAAGTAAGGGGAATACTAACTATAGGGCAGAACTGGCACTGGCACCAATATGCCTCTCCAATCAGCTTGAAGGTCAGGTAGCTAAGGTAGCTTTCCAGGTGGGCCTGGGCCACACCTGGGAGCCGTTTACCTGATTGGCAGAAGGTGGGGGTGGGGAAATGTGCCTGGGGGTCCCACCGCCTACCAGCAGTCAGGCTAACTGCATGGGCCAGGCAGGCAGCCTCACAGGATCGCCCACAGAAAGTCAGAGTTTACAGAGAGAGCGAGCGAGCGAGCGCTTCTATCCGCTGGTTCACTCCCTAAATGGCTGCAACAGCCAGAGCTAGGCCTGTCTGAAGCCAGGAGCCAGGAGCTTCTTCCAGGTCTCCCACATGGGTGCAGGGGCCCAAGCACTTGGGCCATCTTCCACTGCTTTCCCAGGCGCATTCGCAGGGAGCTGGGTCAGAAGTGGAGCAGCTGGGATTTGAACCAGTGTCTGCATGTGATGCTGGTGCTGCAGGCAGCAGCTTAAACCACTGAGCCACAGCGCTGGCCCCTTGCCAGGACTTTTATTGCAAGAGTTAGGGGAGCATTGAGGGTATAGAAAAGAGTAGGGGGTGGGCGTCTGGCTTAGCACTTGGAATATTAGTTAAGAGGCCCATGCCCCATATCAGAGTATCTGGGTCCAGTGTTCAGCCCCAGTGCCTGACTTCAGCCTCCCTGGGAGGCAGCAGGTGATGATGGCCCAAGTGCTTGGGCCCCCGCCATGCACCAGGGACACTTGGATTGAGTTTTTCGGTTCCTGGATTCTATAGCCATGGCTGTTTCAGGCAACTGGGGACTGAACCTGGGGATGGGAGCCCTGTCTGTCTCTCTGCCTTTCCTATTAATTGATTGATTCTAAAAAGAAAGAAGGGGAGGAGTGGGAGGGTCCTTCTGGATCATCATACATATTCATAATGCATGCATATTCGTGATCATACATATTCATAAGCTGTGTGTCTAAAACCCTGAGCCAGGCTGGTCTCTGGTGGCTGCGGCCGCTCTGACTACAAGGTTACAAGCTCCAGGGAGTCCGTGGTGTGTGGCCTCCGCCCTGTTCCCGTGTCCCATGCCCGCGGTTACCCTGCCTGGGAACTAAACAGGGGTCCTCCTTCCCCTGGCTGCTGCTTCGGGGGCCACACGGTGCCGGGGTCTCCAGGGCAGGCTGCTCCTCCACACGGCCTGGCTGGCTGGGGCTCGGGGCAGAAGCAACTGGTTTTTGGTTGAAAGCCAGGAAGTGGGCAGCCTCTGACCCACTGAAGCCAGCATCAAGGCCCCGGGTGTGGCTGCCATCGCCCCGGTCTCCGAGCCGGCTGGGCAGGCCCCACCGCTGCGGCCAGGGAGGCTTTCCTTCCTCCCGGGGCGAGGAGAGGCGGCGGCGGCACTGCCGTGGGCCTTGCCCTTCTCATCTGTGCGATGGGAACCATCACGGCCCACGCTTCCCAGCCGTGCAGGTGAGCGGAGCACCCACGCGGTGAGACCCCGGACGTGTGGGAACACGGGGTGAAAAGACGGGAAATGCGTGCTGCCTTCGCAACACACATTCTCCGTGCACTTTCTGAAGGCCCTACCAGCCTGCAGGGTAGCAAACAGGAAGCAGCCATCGCCCCACCGGCCTCGCATGGCGGCCGTTCTGTGGCCTTCCTGCCACGCACGTGGCCTCAGCGCAGATGCAGAATCTCGGGGAGCCGGGAGCTTCCTGGACTCTCTGCCCTTGATGCCTGCAGAATGGCAGGGACCATGCTGGGGTCACCCGCTGTGCTCACCCCCACCCGCGCCCCAAGTCCGCCAGCTGAGCAGGGCCTGGGGAGTTTCTGGCACCACCAAATAAAATCCTCCCCACTGGGGGCCCTGTCAGGAGCTTTCCGCGGGGTCTCCCCTTCAAGTCTCCCAACCATGCTGCAAAGCAAGAGCACCCATTTTACAGATGAGGAAACTGAGTCTCAGGGTAAAGAGACCTGCTGAAGGTCTTGCAGCTGCTACATAGTGGTGAACGTGGGATTCAGGCCCACGCTCTCTCTTCCTCTGCCTCTGGACCATGGGGACGGGTGTGGGGTGGGGGGCAGCCGACGGCGAGCACCTGCACCAGGAACACAGCCCCAGCCCCCTCCCTGGCCCCCCTCCTAGCCTCTGGGCTTAGATAATCAGGTCCTGACTCACCAAGGTGCCCGCCACCCCCTGGAGCCGGCAGGCGGGGCCTTGAGGCTTCCCTTATGCTTCCAGGAAGTGGCCAAGGCCTCTGCCTTCCAGGAACCTGGCGCTGCCCACGTTGGGGGTGGGGTGGGAGCGTTTTCATAATTCGCGGACTGTTTCCGAGGGGGGTGGCTCCTGCCCTGGGGAGAGGGGGCCAGGCTGGGGCCGTGGCTGCCGCACCTGCTATGAGCCTGTTGCAGCCTTGTCTGGTTGCCCTCTCTCAACAGGCTCAGAGGTGGGTGCTGTTATCCCATTTTATAGATGGGAAAGTAGAAGCTCAGAGAGGCAAGGGCCTGTCTCAAGGCCACACAGCTTGTGAGCGGCACAGCTGGGATTCCAAGCGCCCCTGGGCTGCCCTCACAGCTGCCCTGCGCCCTGCGTGGCACCTGCTGTGTGTGCAGCTGGCCTCCCTGTGGGGCACCTTCAACCTGCTCCTCCCTCTTACTCGCCCTCCCTCCCCCACCCGGCCTGACCCCAGCCACACCGAGCTTAGCTCTCTCCCAAGCCTGTGCCCCTCCCTGGTGCCCCCTCCACTCCTCCAGGGCCCCCTGAATCCTCACTGGGCTCAGGTCAGATCTGGGCCACGCCCCCGCTGTGTGTCTTTGGGAACGTGTCTGCGGCACCCGCATCCCACATCAGAGCGCCTGGTTCGAGGCCTGGCAACTCTGCCTCCAACCCAGCTTCCTGCTAACGCACCCTGGGAGGCAGCAGGTGATGGCCCAGCCCCTTGGGTCCCTGCCGCCCATGGAGGAGGTGTGGAGATCCCGGCTCCTGGCTTCAGTATGGCTGTTGTGGGTGCTTGGGGAGTGAACCAGAGGACAGAAGATGTCTCTGTCTCTCGCTCTCTCTCTCCCTCTCTCTCCCTCCCTCTCCCTCTCTCTCTCCCACTCTGCCTTTAAAGTAGGTAGAAGCTAAGCATTTAAAAAAGGAGACCTGGCCGGCGCCGCGGCTCAGTAGGCTAATTTTCCGCTTGTGGCGCCGGCACACCGGGTTCTAGTCCCAGTCGGGGTGCCGGATTCTGTCCCGGTTGCCCCTCTTCCAGGCCAGCTCTCTGCTGTGGCCCGGGAGTGCAGTGGAGGATGGCCCAAGTGCTTGGGCCCTGCACCCCATGGGAGACCAGGAGAAGCACCTGGCTCCTGGCTTCAGATCAGCACGGTGCACTGGCCGCAGCAGCCATTGGAGGGTGAACCAACGGCAAAGGAAGACCTTTCTCTCAGTCTCTCTCTCTCACTGTCCACTCTGCCTGTCAAAAAAGAAAAAAAAAAAAAAGACGTGACACAGGTGCTCATTGAGACTGCTTGTTAAGAAGCTCTGGTATTTTCTTTCTACACTCTCAGTGGATTGCTGTTGTCCTCAAAGCTTTATTTATTTGTTTGAAAGGCAGAGATACAGAGAGGGAGAGAGAGACACACACAGAGAAAAAGAGATCTTCCATCTGCTGGTTCACTCCCCAATGGCTACAATGGCTGGGGCTGGACCAGGCTGAAGCCAGGAGCCAGGAACTTCACCTGGGTCTCCCACATGGGTGCAGGGGTCCAAGCACTTGGGCTGTCTCCCTCTGCCTTTCCCAGAGGCCTTAGCAGAGAGCCGGATCAGAAGAGGAGCAGCCGGGACTCGAACCGGCGCCCATGTGGAATGCTAGTGTTGCAGGCGGAAGCTTAACCCACTAGGCCACAGCGCCAGCCCCCACCAATGGAGTGTCTGGCCTGTGAATAAGAAGTTTGAGCCAGAACTGATAAGGGGGGCAAATCAAGTTTGTGTGCAGCGCAGGCAGGAGTGGAAGGGCACCCAGATGCCTGTATTCCCGCGGATCAATCACAGTAGTAACAGCTGTGGCTGTGCGGGCCTGCCCTGCACCTGCTGGGGCGGGGGAGGGGAGGGGAATGCATGAAGCTGCAGTGCCCACCCCCCAGCAAGCAGACCCCCTCCCCCACCCGCCCCAGCCCCCCGCTGTGGCTGTGCGGAGGTGCAGTCAGGTGGGTTCCTCACTCCCCACCTCCTGTCTCCCCAGGTGCCATGCCTCTGCACCTCCTGCTCCTGCTGAGCCTGCTGGGCCCCGGAGGCAGCCAGCAGTGGCCGTCCGCCCAGAGGGGCGACTCCCAGCAGGACTGGGGGCAGAGGCAGAAGGTCCCGGAGGACTCAGAGGACGACTACGCCCTGCACGATGACTACGCCTTGGAGGGCACAGACCCTCCCGAAGTGCTTGAAAACAGCACTGTGACTGCGGCCCCAGAGCCCCAGCATCCGACTGAGGGGCCGGACACCCCTGAGCCAGCCACTGCCGAGGCCAGCACAAGGCACGCTGCTGGCCCGGATGCCGTGGGGGCGACTGGGGGGAATCTGAGCATGGAACCGTCCATGCAGAATGTGCCTGTCTCCGTGGGCCTGCTGGCCACACAACTGGCCTCTGTGATGGTTCCCGTGACCCTATCCACAGAGAGGGTTCTGTCCACGGAGCCGGTCACCATGGCCCAGTCCATGGGACCAGCAGCCACAGAGGCAGAGACCACGCAGCCAGCAGCCACGGAGTCTGAGACCACGCAGCCAGCAGCCACGGAGTCTGAGACCACGCAGCCAGCACCCACAGAGGCAGAGACCACGCAGCCAGCACCCACAGAGGCAGAGACCACACAGCCAGCACCCACAGAGGCAGAGACCACACAGCCAGCACCCACAGAGGCAGAGACCACGCAGCCAGTAGCCACGGAGGCCCTGTCCACAGAACCCACTGCCATGGGGTCCCAGCCCATGGAATCCAGTGTTATTGAGGCTCTCTCGACAGAGCCAGCAGCCATAGTGGCCCTGTCCACAGAGCCAGAAGCCAACACGGAGTCCCCATTCATAGAACATACTGCAGCACAGGGACTGGCCACGCCCACGCCTGGCCCCTCTGCCACTCACCTGAGCACCCCCACGGCCACCGGCAGTGCGCCTGCGGTCATCCACGTGAAGAAAGAGAAGGTTCTTCCCTCCCAGAGCCCCGGGACCCCCGGCCCCATGGGGATCCCGGACAGTATCCCTGTGAAACAGTGCCTGCTGGCCATCCTCATCCTGGCGCTGGTGGCCACCATCTTCCTTGTGTGCACCGTGGTGCTGGCCGTCCGTCTGTCCCGCAGGAACCACACGTACCCCGTGCGCAGCTACTCCCCGACCGAGATGGTCTGCATCTCCGCCCTGCTGCCCGAGGCTGGCGACGGGACCCCCGCCACCGCCAACGGACGGCGCGCATCCAGGGGCCCCGGCCTCAAGGCGGAGGCCAAGGAGGAGCGCGACGGAGATGACCTGACCCTGCACAGCTTCCTCCCCTAGCCCCTCCCGCACGCATGCCTCCCCCAGGGGGGCCTCCAGGGAGCCCAGTGATCAGGGTGGTCTCAAGGGAGTGGCCCTGGACCACTGCAAGCAGAGACGGGAGCAGCCACGGCCCGGCCGGAGACCTCATGGCACAGGCCCTGTGGCCACCGCCCCTGCCTTCCAGCTGAGAACCCTGGGGGCCCAGGGACACCTCTCCCCTTCCCCGCTCTGTGCGGGGCCTCTGACACCCCCTTCCTCTTTCCTCCAGACCCCTGAGTCTCAGCCCCACTGGGCTGTCACGCTGGCCACCGCAGAGCCAGGAACCCCCAGGCCACTTGTGTTGGGACAGCTGGGGTTCTCTCGGGCAGCGCTCCAGGGAGCCCGGGGGGAGACTCTTCTTGGGGACCGCATGGGCCAATTGGGCACCTCTCTATCTGGTGACCTCGCTCACCTTCCCCCATGGCCCCCTTCAGGGTGGGCTCTGTCCTGTCCACTGCCGTGTCCCACTGCCCAGCAGGGGACTGGCCGCAGCCCAAGGCCCTTAGTAAATGCATAATGGACAAATGACAGCTGCCTCCTCCAGGGGGCCTGCCTTGATTTTTCCTCCCCCAGCGCAGGGCGAGGTGTTGGCTCTTGGCCGCTCACCCTCAGCCCCAAGCCCCCAAGGAAGCCCCTTGGTTGAAAGGTGACTCTCAGGAGACAGGTGCACCCAATTACATAAGTGAGGGGTTGGGGAAGATTTTGGGTTGCAGGGTGGATGGGGGGGTACCAAGGCTGTCTCCCCCAAACCCATGCCAGGGGTCCATGGTATTCAACTTCCCATGACTCAGATCTGCCCTACAGGAAGTAGTTCCCCCAAAGTCTCAGCCAAGAGCCCCTCTCAGCGTCAACGCCCCCCTCCCGGGCACACCCAGGAGCACCTTGCCATGAGGCAGCATCCGACAGCTCTGATCGGCTGGCATCTCATAGGTGGGGCTGGTGGAATTTTTCTTAAAGGGCCCGACAACAAATATGAGGACGCCTCAGAAAGTTTATGGGAAAATATAATAAAAAGATGAGTTTATTTTTGACGCAAACATATCTTTAAATGTATTGCTTTTCATTTTCTTTGAAACGCAGGGAGACAGGGAGAGGTCCTCCACCTGCTGGTTCACTCCCCAAATGCCCTCAGCAATCAGGGCTGGGAGGAGCCAAAAGCAGGAGCCAGGACCTCAATCCGGGTCTCCCACTTAGGTGCAGGGACCCAAGTGCTTGGAAATGAAGTAGCTGCGACTCGAACCAGGTACCCGGATATGGAACGTGGGCGCCCCCGTGGGGCAGCTTAGCCGCCGTGCCCAACGCCCACCCTGGGACCCAGCACTTCCAAATCCCTCCTAGTCGGTTTCCCGGATAGACGAGACGAGACGAGACCTTGGGCATACCCAGGCCTACCCTCTGGAGCAGAAATAAACTCTTCTTCTCTAGGAAAATATCTGCAATGGCCCCTTGCGGGTAGAGGACTCGCTGCCTCCCCAGAGTTCACCCAGTCGAGGCTGGCAGGGGTTGGCTGTGGCTTGATGGGAGTCGGTGGGGGGAGCCGTGGGGAGAGGCAGGAGGAACAGGATGGGGGGCCAGGGCCAAGGAGCTGCAGGCGAGATGGTGGGGTTGGCTGCCTCCCCTGGAACCTCTAAGCAGGTCCCCCCACGCACAGGGAAGGTGGGTTAGGGAGCTCAGGAGGGCGCTGGGGGGAGAGGGGCAGGGATGCCCAGCCTGGGTGGGGACAGCCAGCCCTGGGGGAGGACCAGTGGGTCAGGAAAAATGGAGGCCGCCTCCTCCTGGGAGAGATCAGAAAATCAGCACAAGGCAGAGGGGCGGGGGGGCTCGGGGACATCAAGTGGTCCTCCAGGAGCCTTGTCCCACTGTCCTTCTGGGGTTTCCAGAGTTCCTGAGCTCAGGGCGCTGTGGGACTGCCCAGGGCTGGGTTTCCATCTGCCTGTCTCTCTCTCTCTCTCTGTCTCTGTCTCTTGTCTTTTCAAGGTGTAGGATTTAATGCAGCGCGGATGAGGCGGCCTTTTAAGCGCCACCAGGGGGCGCCCACCTTCAGCTCTTGGGCCCATCTGCCCGGTTTTTGAGGAGGGGAAAGGGACAGTTCAGGGACAGGAGGCGGTGCTGGCCCTCGGTGTCACCGGGTTCCCTGGAAGAATAGCCCCGATTCTCATCACTGTCAGTTTCCTTGGGGTAAACCCTGCTGTGGACAATCTGAGTTATGCACCACGTGCAGTAGATGACTCAAACATGCCAACAACCTCAAGAACACAGACCATCACTAATCCTTGCCTTTAATAGAATGTAACTTAATTATAAACAATCAAAACAAAACCATGGTCACAGGGCAGGAGTCCCCCCACGTCCCACGTTGGGGTACCTGGGTTTCAATCCCAGCTCTGCCTTGTGGTCCATCTCCCTGCCAGTGTGCACCCTGGAAGGAAGCGCTGGTGGCTCAAGTATTTGGGTCCCTGCCACCCACATGGGAGACCCAGCTTCGGCCCCAGCCCAGCCCTGGCCACCGAGGGCATCTAGGAGCGAGCCGGTTGGTGGATGGAAGATCTTTGTTTCTCGAACAAGCAAATGAATTCACCTGCAGAATTCTGACAATTCGGCCGTTGGCTGCCTTGGGTGGTCCATCTCCCCCCCACGGCAGCCCGTGAGCCTCGCTGCCTGGACCACATCACGCATGCGCTCTGCCGACCCCGCCGGCCCCACGCAGCCACGCCCTCTCCGAGAATCCCCGCCCACTGCCTTCCAGGGAGCTTCTGTGGGGCCGTCTCCCCACTTTGCAGAACAGGAAACTGAGGCCCAGAGAAATGCAGCCCCCGCCCCCCACCCCAGGCCACACGCGAGGATCTGGGATTGGAACCCAGGCCTGACGCCCTGTTGTTCCGGCTAAGTCACGCTGTCCTTGCCCTCCCCGCGGGCTTCTGGGGGAATCCCAGCACCCAGACTCCCAGCCCTGGTGACCTGGAAGTCCCCCCTACGTCACGCTTGGCAGCTGGGAGAAGGCACCTTCGCTCAGAGCCAGGCCCCCTCCTTGCAGAGAGCAGGACACAGCAGGGCGGGGGTCTGGGAGCAGGGGCCAAGCAGCTGCATTCACTGAGCGCTTACTGTATGCCCAGCCCCTTGCCAGACACCGCTGCTCTGTCTCACTGAGGCGCCACGACAGCCCCAGGACACACGTGCGTGACGATTCCACGTGACAACCTGGGGACCCCAGACTCAAGAAGCGGCACCCCTGGCTCCGGCAGGGAAACCGGAGCCGGCTGACAGCTCTCCCTGCAGGGAGGAAGGAAGTGGGGTAGACAGGAAGTAGGGGGCGGCTCCCCCAGCTGCTGGGCTGGCAGGGGCTCCCCAAACTCTCCCATCTGCCCCACTCCACCAAGTACGGGTGGCTGTGGCAGCCCCTGAGACGCCCCCTGAGCATCCCAGCCCTGGTGATGCTCACCCGGGCTCCTGGCTCGGATCCATCAGGGGACAACCTGGAAGAGGTCTGACGGTGGCTGGGCACAAAGCCCACAGGACAGGTGCTGGGGGCCGTGAGCACAGGCGGCCCGGCCCGACCCGGCCGTGTGGTGGCTGGGAGTCAGGAGGGCGGCGGCTGAGCCTCCAGGGGCAGGGAGGAGGAAGCAGGGGGCAGCCACAGCAGGTGCTGGCGAGGAGGCGGCTGGCGGGGGTGCCCCAGGGCCCAGGCCGGGCAGGCTCCTGAGGTGCAGGCGGAGCAGACCCACTCCTGGGCACTCACCGAGAGGAAGCGTGGCCAGACAGAAAATCCCATCCGGGGTACCCTCAGGGGAGGGGAAGGTTCAGGCCCCATGGAACCTTCTGGAATGCGTCACCATGCTGCCCCCCGCCCCCGCCACCGCCATGGACTTCTTGTCACTTCCTTTTTTTTTTTTTAGAAACACATATGTTATTTTAGTGATAAAACATTTATGCACTTCCATCATGATAGGGTGACAAGATGAGGCACTGGCTGGCGCTGCCGGTTAAGCCACCGCCTGCGACACCAGCATCCCATCTTGAATCTGGGTTCAGGTCCCGGCTCCACTCCTGATTCCTGGTTCCTGCTCATGCGCACCCTGGGAGGCAGCAGGGGACGGCTCAGGGTCTTGGGTCCCTGCCACCCACGTGGGAGACCTGAACGGAGTTCCTGGGTCTTCCCGGCTTTGGCCTGGCCCAGCTCTGGCTGTTGTGGGTGTTTGGAAAATGAACCAGTACATGGGAGATACAACATTAAATGAACCCCAAGCCTCGGTGAACTCATCTGAGAAATGGGACAATAACAGCCTCACCTCCTAGCAGCGTTGGGAGGATCTGGGAGACAGGCGTGGAACATACTTAGCATAATACCTGGCAGAGGGTAGCCACTGAATAAGTCAAAACTCCCGGGATTATAAAGTGTAGGGGAAAATAACTCCGAGGGAAACCCGCCGAGCTATTGTGAGGCGCAGAGGCACCGAATGGAGCATCATGGGTGACCTTGCTTTGTTTCTGTGGACTTTCCCGGGTTTTCCCAGCATTCTTGGGTGGACAGGACAAAAATCTCAAATGTTGGGAAGTCGGGGTCACAGCTTCCCTGGTTGCCAAGGAAACCATGGTCCTGCGGGGATTCCGTCCACACAGCAGTGCTGGCCGCCAGTGCTTCTCACCTGGGCTTCCCGAGCCTGGCCATGTTTGGGGGAGGGGCACTGGGGTCCTCGGGATCGGGGTTGGCCTCGCTGCTCAGTGTCCAGCTACACACACAGAGCCCCCAGCCCCGGAAGGATCTGGCCCCACACATCCCCGGTGCCCAGGGGGAGACGCCTGTCCTGAGGCTCCCACTCAGCTGCATGGGCCCCCCGAGATTTCTGACCATGGTTCCTGGGTGTCCTCTTGGTCCCCCCAAGGCTGTGGCCATCGCTGCCCCTGCTTTTGCCCCCCAAGGGGACGCTCAACAGCCACCAGGTTCTCGGTGATGAAGGAGACGGAGCCCCGAGCACAAGGGAGCCCCCTGGGGTGAAGGGAGCAGGGTGGCTTCCGGAGCCCGTGGGCCCCTGCCCCAGGACCTTATCACGTGCTGCTGCTTCTGCCTGCCCCTCTCCTGTCTGCCTGGCTGGCCTCCCCTCATCCTCGAGAGACCCTCTCTCACTCACTCACACCCCCTCCCCTTCAAGGCACTGGCGTCTGTTGTGACGTCACTGATCTCTGGGTAGGGGCTGCAGGGGGCGGGGCCTCTGTCCCTGCACATCCCTGGCACACAGGACGGATCCAGGATCTGAGAATCCTGGCAGCAGCGAGGGATGCCCTGCAGAGGCTGTGGGGACTGAACCAAGGCCATGGGGTTGGCGTGGGCGGAGACGCGGGAGGCCGAGGTTCCAGGCTGGGGGTCAGGAGCCTGGGTCAAGTCCTGGGCAACTCACTTGCCCCAGGGCCCTCACTTGCTCACCTGGGAAATGGGGGCAGCGCCTTCCTTCCTACTTGCAGGGCTGTGTGCGCCCGGAGTGCCCAGGACACAGCAGGCGCCGATGAGTGCGCGTCCCAGGAGAGAGAGAGGCCGGTGCGGGCCATCCGAGGGGCGCCGTGGGGGCTTCCGTGTCCCCCCCAGCCCCCTCCTCTGTGGTTTGGGGAGCAAGGCCCCGCCCTGTGGCGCTCTCCATCTTTAGGCCTAAAATTAGCTCACAAATTCCTGGCTGCCTGGCTGGGGCTTACAGCCGACAATTCAAACCAGATGTTTGCAGCTGCTGGGGCCCAGCCCCCGCCAGCGGCCTCGTGTGTCCTGACTCACGGGGGTCACACCAAGCCTGGGGAGGCCACAGCCTGCCACAGACACCCCTGAGCCCAGGCTGGGCCATGGGGGCCGGGGCGGACGAGCCCGGGGCCTGCATGCGCGCACCCAGGGCAGGGGCCACTTGCTGGGGTGGGGACTGGGGCGGCTCACTGCTCTGTCCCTTTCCAGCCCAAAGCCTTATGGGGTGCCTGCTGTATGTACGCCAGGCTCCTGTTAGCCGCTGCCCGGCTCGGGGAAGGAAGACTCCCAGCCTCCCGGTCACAGCTGCTGCCGCTGGGACATGGTCAGCATGTCGGTTCGGCGCCACGTGCCAAGGCGCACTGCCTCCTTACAGAAGCCCAGAGGAGAGGCTGCTGTCATCACTCCCATTTTACAGGTGAGAAAACTGAGGCCCAGAGCGGTCGAGTCACTCAGCCCAGGGTCACCCAGGTCGGGAGCAGGTGGGCGTGCTGCTCCAGGGTGCTTTTCTCTCCTTTCTCCCCCCGCCCTCCGCCAGCCTCATCCGGCCCTTCCCAGCTTGGGGGTGGGGCTGGGTGCTGGGGAGGACTCTCTCTCCCCAGGAGGCAGCCCTGGCTTGTGGTGGCCGTACGAGGAGGTGGCGCGGCAAGATTCTGGCCTCTGCTGGCGCTGTGGGCGGCACCGCTGCTTGTGACTCCAGCATATGGACACAGGTTCGAGTCCCGGCTGTTCCACCTCTGATCCAGCTAGGGAAGGGAAAGAAGGGGAGGAAGGCTAGGGCGACAGGCGGGTGGGGAGGGAAGGTGGTGGTGTAGGTGACTGGGGGTCCCTGAAGATCAGCTCCCAGCTGTACCCCCAGGCCCGCCCCTGCTCAGAGGCCATCAGCGTCCCTTTCCAACCGCAAAGGCTGCTGGGAAGAATCACCTCCATGCATGGTCGTGCTGGGGCAGGGGAGGCTCCAAGGGAGGGTAGCTCCAGGGCACCAAGGGGGCAGCTGGCAGAGCAGGAGTTTGCATTCCCACCGGCTGCCCTGGCATCCACGTGTGCCTAATAAAACCGTTCCTTGCAGGCCAGGAACGTAAATGTTTACAGGGCGTGCGCAGCTGGCCGGCGCCTTGGCCACAGGAAGCCCAGGACCCGGGCCGCATCGAGAGAGAGAGAGAGAGAGAGAGAGAGAGAGAGAGAGAGAGAGAGAGAGACTACGTGCCTTACTTTTTAAAGAGAGCTTTTATTTATCAAGTGCACGCATCTGAAATGCGAAATGAGAGTTTCCTGTCTGCGAACCCTGCAGCCGCCCCAGGTGCGGGTCTTGCTCATCATCCCCCATCCCCCCGCCCCTGCAGGAGCCTCCTGATGACCTCTGACCCCGTTGCTGCTCAGGTTTGCCTTTGTTCTAGAACCATCCAATGTGTGCTCTTTTGGGTCTGGTTCTTCTTCTTCTTCTTCTTTTTTTTTTTTTTTTAATTTTTTTCTTTCTTTTCATTTTATTTGAAATGCAGCCACACACAGAGAGATAGAGACAGACAAGGGATCTTCCACCTCTGGTTCACTCCCTAAAGGCCCACAACAGCTGGGGCTGGGCCAGGCCAATGCCAGGACTGGAAACTCATCCCTGGCCTCCCACGTGGGTGGGCAGGGACCTGATGTCACCTGCTGCCTCCCAGGAGGCACCAGCAGGAAGCTGGAGCTGGAAGCGGAACTGGGACTCAAACTCTGATACCGGAGGTGGGTGTCTCAAGGGGCGTCTAATGGCTGCACCAAACAGTATGACAGAGAGAGAGAGGGAGAGAGAGGGAGAGAGAGAGCGCAAGCGAGTGAGCTTCCGTCCGCTGGTTCACTCCCCAAATGCCTGCAACACCCAAGGCTGGGCCAGGCTGAAGCCAGGAGGCTGGAGCTCCATCCAGGTCTCCCAGGTGGGTGGCAGGGACCCAGCACCTGAGCCCAGAGTCCTCCGCTGTCTCTTAGGGTGCCCGGTAGCAGGAAGCTGGCATTGGGGGTGGAGCCGGGACGCGAACCCAGACGCTCTGACATGGAATGCGGGCGTCTTGCTCACCAGGGCCAAGGCCTGCCCCGGGGTCCGGTTCCTGTGCCCGGTGCGCCTGGGGGATGCCTCCATGGCTGTTCCTCCCACTCTGAGCCATGTCCCCAAAGGGACGGACCACAGCCTGTGCGGGGGCCCCGATTCTGGACGCTCGCCCATGCCCGCTTCCTGCTTGTGTGACTAAAGTGACACGGGCGCTTCTGTGGTCTTGGGTCAATGCCTGGGAGCAACTTTGCCAGGTCACGGGGAAGTGCGTGGCTAATCCGATGGACGACCTGGTCACTTTTCTCTCCTAGCAGCCGTGGCAAACATCCGGTGGCTTACGGGGTGGGAGGTGGCGTGGCACAGGCACAAGTAGAAACCTGGCCAAGGATCACAAGGCAGCAGAGCCTGGGGCAGCTGCCACTGACCCAGGCTGATCTTGGAAGAGAGACTGAGGGTCGGCTCAGAGCCAGGAGCTGCCACGGGTCCCTGGAGAGAACGGAGCCACACCAGTCTCATTTCCCTAGAGGAGCTCTCATGCCAAGCCTTTCCCACCTCAGGGCCTTTGCACCTGCTGTTCCCTGGCCTGGACGCTCCTCCCTCTGCCTTTGCCCGTCTGGTTTCTCTTACCAAGCGAGTACCAGGCCCGTTACCTCTCCAGAGAGGCCGTCCTGACCACGGTGGCTGCAGCTGCTGCCCCTGCCCCTGCCCCACCCCCTTCCCAGCCACTCCCATCTCCCCTCAGATGCTCCAGAGGCTGGGGCCTGGTCTGTCTTGTTCCCTGCTGCTTCCCAGGGGCAGGGGCTGGAGCGGAGCAGGACCCTAATGCCAGGGAATCCCCAGTCCATCCTATCCCCTCCCAGGCCTCAGTCTCCCCATCTGTAACACGGGCCGATGGCACTGGATGGGTTCAGCCAGTGGCCAGGCACAAATGCTGGGGATACAGGGACAGCAGGGGCCCTGGTTCAGACCAGGGAAGCCCGCAGTCTACAGCCATGGTCTAGAGGGGCACAGGGCTCCAAGGGGGAGCCCAAGGGCTACTGATCTCCCTCCTTGCAGGCTGCGGTTCCCGGGGGCCTTCCTGGAGGTGGTGGTGACTGAGCTACAACCTGGGGAGGGGCGTGGCCCAGCCAAGAGGGCTGGGGTGGGGGTGCTGGGGAATACGTGGACACATCTGGCTTACACCTGGGGAAACTGAGGCACAGGGCGGTTTCCTGGCACCCCCAGAGCTCTGGCCTGCCGGGACATGGCCACTCAGCCTCCTCAGAGCGCGGTGCGGGAGGCCGTTCCACAGGCGTCCAGTTGAGGGCCGGGCGTCCACCGCCACATGAAAGCGCCAGCTATTTTTGCCCAGGGCAGGCCCTCGTGGCCTCTGGGGCTGTGTAATTAGCCCTGGCCCTGGGCCCACCTGGGGCTGGAGCTGGGGGTTTGGTGGCCCCAGGGGCTGCCTGGCGGAGACCCGAGTGGGGTGGGTTTTCCCTCGCCCTCCCTGCATCCTTAGCTGGGCGGGGGCTCCAGCTGCGAATTCCACGGAGGGCCCAGGGTGGGCTCTCACTTGCTCCTGGGCTGGGCGGAGGCCCGGGCGCTGCTCTGCCTCTGGAAATGACAGGCTGCGGGTGGGCGGCCCGGCCCGCCCCACGCCACAGGGTGCAGGCCGTGGGGAGCGTCCAGGCCAGGTCCACAGCAGGCCCAGAACTGGAGAACGGGGGGCGTGAGATGAGACTTCTGGGATGGAGAGGACGCCCAGGGCGAGAGCTGGCCGGCCTCTGGGCGTGCAGGTGCACGGGTTCCAGGGGCCACCCCACAGTCAGCAAGCATTCGTGGGCCGCTCTGTGGTCCAGGCACTGCCCTAGATGCTGGCGTCACAGCACGGGTCCCTGGGTGACAGCCTCAGGAGCTGCCCCAACAGGCCATAGTCCTGTCGACCTCGGGGTCTCTGCGTGTGCGGTCGTGTTGCTGGGAGCCCTCCTGCATCCTTGCCCTGGTAAATACCTCACCATCTGCGAGGGCAGCCCCTCTGTGGCTCCTTGTTGGGCCCCTGTGCAACCCAGGACCATACCTGCCCCCCCACCGCCCCGTCCCTCGCAGGGGCTCCCAGGCCCAAGCCAGCCCCTTCCCACTCTGGGACCTGCAGGGAGAGATCCTCACACCTGTGTGCTCCCCTCTGCCCGGCCCACTTGCTGGTCGCTGTGCCCAGGGCCGGGCTGTGGGCTGGGTGTGGGGTGCTGGCTCCATATTACGTGCACCGTGAGAGACGTTCAGATGCGCATGCGCGGGGCCTGCGGGCCGGCCATGGGCACCGAGCGGCGGGTGCCAGCCTTCCCCGGCTGTGCCCGCGGGGCAGTGATCGGCCCAGACTGGAACCGCGGCTGGGTCGCGGGACAGCTGCGGCTCTGTCCTCAGAGTGTGGGCTGGAGCGTTCCATTTAAGGAGGACATGTGTGTAGGTGTGTGTGCACGCGTGTACTCGTGCGTGGGAGTATGCATGTGTGTGCTTGTGAATGTGTGCACGTGTGTGCACGTCTGTAGTTCTGTGTGTGCTTATGTGTGTGTAAGTGTTTGTGTGTACACATGTTCTTGTACATGTGCATGCATGTGTGTCTCTGTGTGGTTGCATCTTTAAATATTTATTTGATGTATCTGAAAGGCAGAGTTACAGAGAGAGAGAGAGAGAGATCTGCCGTCTGCTGGTTCACCCCTCAAATGGCCGCAGCGGCCAGGGCTGAGCCAGGGCGAAGCCAGGGCCCAGGAGCTCCATCAGAGTCTTGCACGTGCATGGCAGGGGCCCGCACTTGGGCCGTCTTCCGCTGCTTTCCCAGGAGCCTTAGCGGGAGCTCGGAAGGCAGAGGAGCAGCCTGGCCCGCGTGAGCGCTCTGACCCGGGATCCCGTGGAGGCTGCTGTGCCGCGCCGGCGGCCCTCGCTCTCCCCGCCCCCTTGCCCACAGCAGATCCGGGCTGCTTTTTGTAGAAGTCATTTCTGGACACTTCCTCTCCCTGGCCTTTTTGGTCCGCGAGCCCCTGGGGGGCTGGGCTGTGTCTCCTCCGCCAGGGCCAGCACCTGGAGCACTCTGGGTGCTCAGGGACCTCTCCTGGATGAATGAATGCATGCATCAGTGAATGAATGCAAGGGGCCCAGAACCCCTGGATTGCTCAGGTCAGGCCGACATCCTGGCTCCAGGGCCGGCCAGTGTCTCAGTGCAGGACCCTGGTGGATCCGTTTGAGTCCACTCTGCCTCAGTTTTCCTCATCTGTGAAATGGGGTCACTACCACAGCGAAGTCCATTTGGGGGTTTTGTGAGGCTGCAGACCCCAAAGTGTCAGAGCCAGAGGGAGCTCAGCAAGCTTCCCTGCCTCCTTGAGAAACGGGGAAACTGAGGCCTGGGGTGAGGAGGGGCCCTGGCCGGAGCAGGTGCCGGAACGGGGCCTCCTGCCTCGGGCCTGGACCCTGCGTCAGGCCAGGCCTCCTTCAGCACATCCCGGCCCCCCACTCCGCACTCAGCCTGGAAAACCTGAGTCACGGCTGGAACCAAGGCCCGGGAACTTTGCTTCTCACTTCCAGCGGCCCAGAGCCGCTCTGACCCCATCCCGTTTGGCGTATGGGTGGTGGGAGGGCCCGGCAGGACCCCCCCGGTTCTGAGAAGGCTGTGGGTCAGCCCCATCTGTCTGTCTGCCTGTCTGTCCATCTCAGCCTGCCCTGCCCCCCCCGCCCCCCCAGGTCAGGGGGGAAGCGCCCCAGCGGGTCCTTGGAGCAGAGCGGCTGGGCCTGCGTGTGGCCCAGCAGCCCCGCCCCTGTCCCCACCCCAAGCCCTCTTAATGAGACCAAGCTGGCCTGGAGGAGGGAGCGAGAGAGGGAAGGAGGAGGGGCGGGAGGAGGGAGGGCGCCAGGCGCCAGCCCACAGCAGTCCCAGCAGCCTAGCGGCGCGGACGCTCCCGCTGCCCCTGGCCGGAGTCCCCAGGCCCGCGCGTGGAGGAGCTGGTGAGTCCCAGGGGCCTGTGGCCGCCGTGGGGTGCAGGGGCCGGCACCCTCTGGTGCACTTCGCGGGGCCTCGGGAAGTTTGTGTTGATGGGCGCACGTGTGTGACGGCCACGGAGGCCCGTGTGCGGGGCCGGTGGCTGTGTGGCAGTGCGTGGGGGCCCGCGTGTGGACACCAGGGCGTTGCTTCCAGCTCAGGGGGAGGATGGCAGGGCCGGCGTCATGCTGGGCTGGGTTGGGGGCTGCGTGGCTGCGTGGCTGCGTGTATCCGTGTGTGTTCTCTGTGAGTCCACGCTGGGGGCCCAGGGAGCTCTCCTGTGCGTCTCCGGGCTACATCTGGGGCCGTGGGCCTGGGCTGTGTGTCTGGGCTGGTGTCCCCCTGCTCTGCCTGTGTTGTGTGTCCGTCTGGGTGTTGTGTGTCCATGCTACTGCTCTCTGTGTGTGGGTGTATGGGGGTGGGTGGGTGTTTGGTTGGAGGGGTTTTAAGTCTTCAGGAACCCCCACCCCTTCCAGGCCTCCATTTTTAGGGGCTGGGAGCCCTCCGTCCCCGGCTGGTGCTCCAGCCATGTCCCCTCCCCCAAGCCACTGATTGGACCCAGGTTTCCGTGGCCTGCCCCTCCTCCGCTGGCCACAGTCTCTGGCAGTGGGGTGCGCAGCAGCTCTGGCCGTGCTCAGCTCTTGGGGTCTTGGGGTTCCCAGGCCTTAGGGGTGGATTTGCATTCATCTGAGTATCACGACCGCCAGCGGGGCCCTCTCGCTTCAGATCAGCACACCCCAAGTGAGCCTCCGAGTGGGGAGTGGCGGCCGAGCGCGTGGCACCCGCGAGCCGACACCCATGGTGGCCAGGCCCCGCCCTGTCCTGTGCCAGCCCACAGGCCAGGAGGTGGCCCTCGTGCCCAGGTCTCAGACGTGCCGGCCTGGGACGCACAGCTGGGGCGCAGACTCCTCCCTCCTCACTAGGAGCTCTTGCTGTGCCGCCCTGGGCAGGCCGCTTGCAGTCTCTGGGCCGGACCCTGCTCCTGATGGCTGCTGAAACTCTGGGCTTTGTATCCAGGAGCGCCCAGGGGCTTGGCAGGCTTCTCCCAGAGAGAGATGGGCAGCGGGTCGATTCCCAGTGTTCAGGACAGTTCTGCCATCCATGGGCAGAGAGGGCAGGGACACGTCTGGGGCTGCATAGCCATCTCCTTCATGCCCAGCTGGCTTCAGGGTGGCTGGCTGCCCGCACGTACCTCCCCCTTTCTTGGGGAGTCAGGAGCTCATTGCCACGTGCATGTGCCTGTGTGGTGTGTCCATGTCTGCGTGCACATGTATGTGTGCATGTATGTCAGCGTGTGTCTGTGTGTGCAGCTCTGGGTTGTGTGTGCATGTCCGTGATGTGTTGTGCATGCCTCTGTGTGTTCACGTCTGTGTGTGTGTGTGTCCATGTGTGTGCCTGTCTGTGTATGTCTGTGCTGTGTGTGCGTTTCAAATTGACATGAGTCAGCCCGCCACGTGTGTGCGTGTTTCGCATCCGTCACCAATCACGGATCGAAGATCTTCAGAAAATAAAAACCATAGGCATCAGAATGCAAGACAAAACCCGGGAGCACGGCTCGCCCCCCTGGGTGTTGTGGGTGACTCAGGGCAGACTGGGAGTCGGCAGCAGGGTGAGCAGCTCAGGCACCTGCTGGTGTGGGCGCCGTGGGGTCCCTGCAGGTACTGGGGGACACTGTACCGTTCTACTCCACCCGTGGCAGGGACTCGAGTCCCCAGAACAAGCCACAGGGGGGCCGATCTTGCTCCGACCTCACCGGTGCCCCCTTGCTTTGGGAACGGGACCTGAGCTGAGGGTGTGACCTGTCCTCTGAGCCTTGCCGGTGGCCCGGGCCAGCCCCTTACCTGCTCTGCCCCTCCGAAGCCCTGTCCCAGCACGCAGCAGACCCCCCCAGCTGGGCATCCTTAGGCGTTGCTGGCTGGGGCTTCCAGCCCAGCCAGCCTCTAGGACCAGAGGAGGAAGTCCCTGGACTCCCATTGGCCGGGAGAGTCTGTGTGCTCAGCACCCCCAGCCCCTCCGTGAACTTGGCCGTGAGGAATTTATTACTCAGCCAGGCTGTCTGGGCCAGATGGGGTCTGGGGGTTCACGCCGGGAGCAGCTTTCCCCACTGCGCCGGAGGCTGGGGCGGGGGTGGGGCGGGTGAGGACGGCGTGGGCTCATATGGTTCCCATCTGGGGGCGGCAAGAGGGGCGTGGCCTCGTCTCAGCCACGAGGGTTTCCCCCGGGGTCCTCCTGGCCCGTTGTGAAGCCTGGAGGTGAGGGGCAGCCGCCAGCCGGCCCTGGCAGCCGGCTCAGAATCTGAGCTCTTGCGGACCAGAGGGAGAGTGGGGCTGGGGCAGGGGCCCAGGGAGACCTGAAGGAGCCTCTGACAGTGCTGTGGCTGCCCAGTGCATGGGGAACAGACCCCCGAGGGGCTGGGGGCTGCTGGGGGGCTCTCTTCTGGGCTGATGAGGATTCATGGAGAAATCCCTTGTAAGACATTTGCAGTAGTAGCTGGTGCAGGGCAATAATTAGATGTCTCCTTATTAACTCAGCCAAGTCCGCCCAGATACATTTATTGAGCACTGGCTGTATACCAGAAACGGGGCAAGGCCCTGAAGGTGCGGAGGTAAATGAGATTCTGCCCCTGCCTCTCCAGGCCCTCCGAGGGCGGCGTTGGAGCAGGCGTGGCCCTGCCCACGATGAGCCCTGAGGTCAGGGCTGGGCGGTGACCACACTCTGTGCTCGCTCTGCATCTACATCCCGAGCCCCTGGGGTCTCCCGAGCCCCCTGGGGTCCCGGCTGACCTCTCCCCTCCCTGGTGTCCCTGCAGGTCCCGGGGACAACATGGTGACGGCCCCCAGCGTCCTCGTCCTCGCTCTGCTGCTGCTCCTGACGTCCGTGCCTGCGGGCGCCCACTCCGTGTTCCTGGAGGACGTGGTGGGCAGTGGGGAGGCCGAGGGCTCATCGGCCTCTTCCCCGAGCCTGCCGCCGCCCCGGACCCCGGCCCTCAGCCCCACGTCGCTGGGGCCCCAGCCCACGCCCCTGGCCGGCCCCTCCGCCCCCACCAGCCTCCTGGACGGCATTGTGGACTTCTTCCGCCAGTACGTGCTGCTCATCGCCGTGGTGGGCTCCCTGGCCTTCCTGCTGCTCTTCGTCGTGTGCGCCGCCCTCATCACGCGCCAGCAGCACAAGGCCTCGGCCTACTACCCGTCCTCCTTCCCCAAGAAGAAGTACGTGGACCAGAGTGACCGTGCGGGGGGCCCGCGCGCCTTCAGCGAGGTCCCCGACAGGGCTCCGGACAGCCGGCCCGAGGAGGCCTTGGACTCCTCCCAGCAGCTCCAGGCTGACATCCTGGCCGCCACCCAGAACCTCAAGTCTCCGGCCAGGGTGGCCCCGGGCAGCAGGGAGGGAGCCAGGCTGGTGGAAGGCAGAGCAAAGGAGGAGGAGAAGGAGGAGGTGAAAGAGGAGGTGGAACAAGGAACCCAGCAGGTGCACCCAGAAACCCAGGGACGCGGGGTCCCAGCCGAGAAACCAGAGGTGGAGGAGGAGCTGTGCACGGGGGTAGCCGGGAGCGCCGTGGCAGCCGGCGAGGGCCAAGGGGAGCCAGAAGAGTCGCTCTCGCTAGCGCAGGAGGCACCCATGGGTCCCCCCGGAAGCCCCTGTGCTTGCAGCGCTGTCTCCCCCAGTGTCTAACAGCCCCCAGGGCTGCTGGCCCGGCTGGCAGAGCCCTGGGGCATGCAAAGGCCTTCAGTCCCGCCTGCTGCTCCCTGTCCCTTCCTGTCCCGTCCTGCAGCAGGTGGAATGCTGGTCTCTGGGCTACCCTGGGAGTCTCACCGAGGTCCTGCAGCCCCGGGGGGCACGGCTCCTCCCAGGAGGTAGAGGAGGGGCTGTGGCCTTGTTAGAGTGAGGATCGGCCATGCCCGCCGGTCCTCCAGAGGGCGTGGTCGTCGCTGCTTTCCATCCAGCTGGCAAAGAAAATCAGCGTCACCGGGAGTTTGGGAGAAGGTCCAGTGAACGCAGTCCGGCCCCAAATTCAAATGGTGCCATCCTTGGCCCTGACATGCCCGTGTCCCTCTGCCTCTGCTTCCGCCGGAAGTGGACCTGGCTGGCCAGTTAGGGAGATCCTGGGAGGAGCCCCTCAGGCCCTCGGCGAGCATATCCAGACTGGGCTCCCCAAGATGCCCCGTGGAAGCAAGATCAAGGTCAAGGCGTCTCAGGAACAGTACCCCAGCCCCCCAGGGCTCTGCCACGTCCGCAGCGCAGGCTCTGGTTGACTCTGGTTTTGTTTAGTCTTTGCCAAACTTTTAAAAATAGCTGCAGAGGGAAATCTGGCCCTGCCCATGCGGGAAAGCCCCGCTCTTAACCGTCCTGAAGGCACCCCCGGTTTCTCGTGGGTCCAGGGTTAGGGCGTGGGGGGCAGGGGCAGGGTCTCTCGAGGACAGGGCTGTGTTTGAGGGGCATGCACCCTGGGGGAGGGTCTCTGACACCTGGCCTGGGGCAGGGGGCCTGGCTGCCCCCTGTGCTCACACACATGGGCTGGCAGCCACCTTCAGTTGACAGGGAGTCTGGGCGCTGTCCTCACTGGGGGAGGTTCTGGGGGGGTCTTCTCCCTCAGCCCTCTGTCTGGGGTCCCCCAGTCTCTGCATAGCCCTCTGGGCACCGAGATATAACCCACTGGCACAATAAACCCTGATTCTGGCCCCAGGCTCATTGGTTTTCTTGGGTAAAGTGGTGATGATGGGGGTGGGGGCGCATCTGCAGGGCAGGGGCTGAGCTGTCTTGGGGAGACGTCAGTGGTGTCCCAGAGGTAGAAGGCGGGGGTGGGGGACACAAAGGTGCCCACGGGTGGGCGTGGGTGTCCCCAGGGCACAGCGCCAGCCACGTAGTAGTCCCAGATTCCACGCCCGCCCCAGGACACGGGAGCAGGGGAGTGGTCCCAGCTGTCTGCCCTGGGCGGGGTGGCCGGGCACTGGGCCATGCCAATGCCACCATCACCAGGCTCCTCCCTGCTCCTGACCGTGCATCCCCGCCTGCCCCTGCTCCGCCCTGGAGCCTCCAGCTGGAACCCAGATGTGACCGGAGCGGGAGCTGCGTCCTGGGTAGTGGGGGCGGGGAGGCCGTCCCCTGTAGAGCCTCGCCTCCATGGACCCCACATCTGCCCGCCTGAGGGGACACACGATGGCCTGTGTCTGGCTTGTGGGGCCAGGCCCTCCCCTCTCAGCCTGGAGAGCAGAAGAGGAACGCCCTGGACCCCCGCACGCTGTGTGGCTCTGATTGAGTCGCTCAACTTCTCTGGGTCCCAGGCACCCTCTCCTCATTCCGGAGCCTTCTGCAGGGCCTCAAATGTCCCCGTGACAGAAGAAAGCCCTGGAAGACAGAAGCCGACACGGGAGACCCTTGGGCAGCAAGGCAGGGCCAGTTTCCCGACTCACCGCAGCTGGGCCCTTCCCAAGACTGGTGGGGGCATGGGGGCCTGAGCAGGAGCCATGTTGCTTTCACCTCTGAACTTTGACCTCTATGGGGCACTCTTCCACCTCCAGCCCCTGTGCCTTCGATGTCCCCTCCTCCAGGAAGCCTTCCTGACAGCATCCGCCCAGCTTGCCTTCCATAGTGCCCTGGGCTCCGTTGTATGAGTTCACAAGTCCCAGGCCCTTGCTTTGTTGGACCCCGCCCTGAGCACCTGACATCATCAACTCACTGAGACTTACAACCCCGAAAGGTGGGCCCTGTTGTCATTCCCAAGCCACAGATGTGGAAACTGAGGCCCAGAGGGGTGCGGTCAGTTGCCCAGGTCACACAGCCGGGACTCCAGCCTGGTGGTCCAACCTCAGCATCTGAGTCTCTGCTGGGCGCCTCTGGTTCCGGCAGGAATGAATGAATGAATGAACAAGTGAGTGCCTCCCTTGGGGAGGTCTCAGCAGGGCTGCACCCCAATCTGGGATGGGGGCTCTGTCATGGGTGCGTGTCTAACTGGGTCCCAGCAAACCGTGAATCACAGCTGGGGGTGTGGGGGGCTGGGTCGGGGCATGGGATGGGGGTGTCCACTGCTCCCAGGGGCCCAGGAGTCTTCCAGGCCCTGAACAATCCCTCCCCACCCCCCGCCCCAGGACTCAGCTGCCCCCAGCCTGGGAACCCGGCCCCGGGCCAGGCCTGCTGTCGCCATAACAGGGGAGGGGAGGGGAGTGAGATCAGCTCAGGACATGAATCCTGGGCTCAGTGTGGGACCTGGGATGGGGTGGCCCCTGCCCTGCTCTGGTTTGTCTGAGGTCTTGGCTGGGGTGGGGGCGGGAGGAGGCAGAGGGCGTGTCTCCTTTCCCCTGGTCTGCCTCCTACTGCTGTAGCAGAACCTGTGGGGCAGGGCCATTTACTAAGCTGGGCAGGGACTGGGGCTCCTAGGCAGGCCAGGAGCATGGGGCGGGCATCTGGGAGGGCCTCTCGCTGCACACACCAGCCCACCATAACCACCTTCAGCCCACGCGAATGCAAGAGGAGCAGCGTCACGACCTTCGTCCTGAGGAGGAGGAAACGCGGCTCAGAGGGGTCCAGAGTCTTGCCCGAGGCCGTTCAGCCCAGCAGACTGGGGATTCGGACCCGGATCTGACCAGCCTCTCGGCTCGGGCTCTCCAGCACTGAGCCTCCTGCTCCGTTCAGAACATAGCCAGGACCTGAGGCCTAGTCCCTGTGCAGACGGGGGAGGGACGGCTCCCGGCGGCTCATCCCCCGCCATCACTTCCTTGTTGCAATACCGCGTGCCCCTCTCCCCACCTGGAAGTGTGGCTGGGACCCAGCCTTTCTTGGCACTGGTTCACTGAGGCCTGGAATCAGTCGGCGTTAGTCAGGCGTTCGGGTTTGGAGGTGGCCTGGGAGAAGGTAGCAGGTGCACTGGCCGCTCTGTTTCCCGATCACAGCTACATAATGAGCTCCTACTATGCACCTGGTCCCTGGGACACACTGTGCATACAGTGGACCCGTGCTGTGTTCCAGTGGAGGAGACGAAAAAGGACCAGAGAATCACCCAGGTGCACCGGCCCTGATGAGCCGCAGGCATAGCGGGCGTGTGTCTGACGCTCCACCAAGACGGTTTTCACGGCTTCGCGGAGGGTAACTGACGCACAATACAACGCACATATTGACCGTGTACAATCTGCTGCCCTGCCACACATGTGGATGCCCATTAAACCATCACTGCCACAAGTTCATGGGTGTGTGGCCCCTCCAAGTGTTTCTTTGTAGCCCTTTGTAATCTCTCCTTACTCCTTCTCCCTTCCCCAGCCCCCCACTGAATCCACAAGAAACTATTGATCTGCCTTTGTCACTGCATTTTTATTTTCTGGAACTTTATGTAACTAGAACCATCTAGGGTGTGCTTTTTTTTGGGGGGTGGGGTCTGGATTCTTTCCCTCCCTATAATTATTTTGAGGTTTCTTCATGTGATTTTTTTTTTTGACAGGCAGAGTGGACAGTGAGAGAGACAGAGAGAAAGGTCTTCCTTTTCTGTTGGTTCACCCTCCAATGGCCGTTGTGGCCGGCGCGCTGTGGCTGCTGCACCGCGCTGATCCGAAGGCAGGAGCCAGGTGCTTCTCCTGGTCTCCCATGCGGGTGCAGGGCCCAAGCACTTGGGCCATCCTCCACTGCACTCCGGGGCCACAGCAGAGAGCTGGCCTGGAAGAGAGGCAACCGGGACAGAATCCGGCGCCCCAACCAGGACTAGAACCCGGGGTGCCGGTGCTGCAGGCGGAGGATTAGCCTATTGAGCCGCAGCGCCAGCCTCTTCATGTGATTTTTTTAAAAAAATTATTTTATTTAGTTGAAAGGCAGGGGCCAGTGCTGTGGCGCACTGGGTTAATGCCCTGGCCTGAAGCACCAGTATCCCATATGGGCGCCGGTTTGAGACCCGGCTGCTCCACTTCCAATCCAGCTCTCTGCTGTGGCCTGGAAAAGCAGCAGAAGATGGCCCAAGTCCTTGGGCCTCTGCTCCCATGTGGGAGACCCAGAAGAAGCTCTTGGCTCCTGGCTTCAGATTGGCGCAGCTCTGGCCGTTGCAGCTAAGTGGGGAGTGAACCAGCAGATGGAAGGTCTCTCTCTGTCTGTCTCTGCATCTCCTCTCTCTGTGTAACTCTGACTTTTAAATAAATAAAATAAATCTAAAAAAAAAAAAGGCAGAGTTAAAGAGAAAGAGGGAGGGAAGGAGGGAGAGAGCGAGCGAGCGAGCTTTCATCCATTGGTTCACTCCCCAAATGACTGCAATGTTTGGGGCTGAGCCAGGCCGCAAGTAGGAGTCAGGAGTTCCATCCAGGTCTCCCACATGGGTGGCGGGGGCTCAAGCACTTGGGCCCAGACCCATTAGCAGGGAGCTGGACCGGAAGTGGAGCAGCCGGGACTTGAACCGGGGCCCATATGGAATGCTGGTGCTGCAGGTGGCAGCTTAACCTGCGGTGCCACAGCACCGGCCACTCTTCACGACTCAGGTTTCTCTTCTGGTTGGCATAGAGCCGTGTTCTCCTGCTTGGATGTACCACGCGGTTTGTTTGGCCATTCACCTGCCAGTGGCATTTGGGTTGCTTCCTGGTTTGGGCCGTTACGAACAAAGCCTCTAAGAACAGCTGGTGTGAATTTATGTCTTCTTCACGACCTTCACCATGGCCATTACTTCTCCCCATTACACAGATGAGGAAAATGGAGACTCAGAGAGCTCAAGGAACTCACACAACCAGAGTTTGTGAGCTGAACCTTCAACAACGGGCTGCGTCAGTTGAAGAGACATTAGGGCCCTGTGTCCCTGTGAGCCGTCAGCTCTGCAGGTGACTGACGCATGTCACGGTTTGAGCAGCACTGAGCCGCAGTGGGCGTGTGCAGAGCTGGGCGTGTGCAGAGCTGGGCGTGTGAGGCCCTGAGCAGTCCTATGCAGGGCCCTGGTTCTGCACCCGGCTGTGGAAATGATGGGATCGTGCTACAAGGAGTCGGGCTGGGGTGGGGGCAGAGAGCGTGTTTTCAGCAGGTTTGCATTTCGGGCTCTTCCGGCTGCCGCTCCGAAACAGTAGAGGGATTTGGCGCCGGCTCCAGGGCTGCGCGGTCCCCACCGCAGCTGCTCCCCCTCCCCACAAGAGGCCCAGGTTTATGGCGGCAGCTGCAGGGTGAAAAATAGCTCTGCTCGTAAATCCACTCCAGCCAGTGAGAGAGATGCCAGAGGCCCCTGCAATGTCTTCTACCCGCCCGGGGCCCTGCAGGGACCTCAGGGGGAGCCCTCGGAGGCCTAGGGCCCAGGCCTGGGGTGGCCACCTGTGGTGTCTCCCTTGGGGTCTGGGGAGCCAGAGTGAACTGGAGATGGAGTGGGGGAGGCACGGGATTGAGGATGGGGGCTTGCCATGGGCAGGGGGAGATGGGGGGGCCTGGGGCTGTTGCTAGCTGCCAAAGGTGGGGTGCACGCAGTCCCCTAGACGAGAGAGCGGGAGGCTTCTGTTTGCACACACTGGGCCACTCCAGGGTCACCTCTGCTTCCCAGGTACAGCGGAGCCTCAGGCCCACGGTGCGCAGACTCCTGCACTTGGCAGCTAGCGGCTTTCCTCGGGCGCAGGGCACAGGGGCTGGGCAGTGTTGCAAAGCCCAGCCACCAGGGATGTCCTGGGAAGCCCTGGAGGTGTAAAGGACACACACAGAGGACAGAGGTGGGCTCAGAAAGAGCCTCCCGCCTGGGCAGCCCTCGGC